GACACAGTCTCCCATTTTTGCCCTGGGCACCATATTACTTTGTCATGGCACTGACCTGCAGTATAGCAAACCACATTCATAACCCTTTCTATTAGCAGGTAACAGAGGCACACACAGTGCTGTACTGCAGTATACAGGATCAACTAGAACAGTGGTTCTCAACCTTTCTAACGCCGCGACCCCTTAATACAGTTCCTCATGTTGTGGTGACCCCCAACCATAAAATTATTTTCGTTGCTACTTCAGAACTGCAATTTGCAGTGGGAGGAGCTACTTCATCATTTGGTGTCAGTGGAAAGTAGTGCCCCATCACTGATGTCAGTGGGAGGAATAGTGCCCCATCGTTGGTATCAGTGGGATGAATAGTGCCCCATCACTGTGTCAGTGGGAGGAATAGTGCCCCATCATTGGTATCAGTGGGAGGAATAGTGCCCCATCCTGATGTTGGTGTCCCATCGTGGGAGTGGGAGGAATAGTGCCCCCATTGGTGTCAGTGGGAGGAATAGTGCCCCATTATTGGTATCAGTGGGAGGAATAGTGCCCCATCATTGGTATCAGTGGGAGGACTAGCGCCCCATCACTGATGTCAGTGGGAGGAATAGTGTCCCATCGTTGGTATCAGTGGGAGGAATAGTGCCCCATCGTTGGTGTCAGTGGGAGGAATAGTGCCCCATCATTGGTATCAGTGGGAGGAATAGTGCCCCATCATTGGTGTCAGTGGGAGGAATAGTGCCCCATCATTGGTGTCAGTGGGGGGAATAGTGCTCCATCATTGGTGTCAGTGGGAGGAATAGTGTCCCATCATTGGTGTCAGTGGGAGGAATAGTGCCCCATCATTGGTATCAGTGGGAGGAATAGTGTCCCATCATTGGTGTCAGTGGGAGGAATAGTGTCCCATCATTGGTGTCAGTGGGAGGAATAGTGCCCCATCATTGGTGTCAGTGGGAGGAATAGTGCCCCATCATTGGTGTCAGTGGGAGGAATAGTGCCCCATCATTGGTGTCAGTGGGAGGAATAGTGCCCCATCATTGGTGTCAGTGGGAGGAATAGTGCCCCATCATTGGTGTCAGTGGGAGGAATAGTGCCCCATCATTGGTATCAGTGGGAGGAATAGTGCCTCTTCATTGGTATCAGTGGGAGGAATAGTGCCCCATCATTGGTGTCAGTGGGAGGAATAGTGCCCCATCATTGGTGTCAGTGGGGGGAGGAATAGTGCCCCATCGTTGGTGTCAGTGGGGGGGGGTGTGTCAGAGGGGGGAGGAATAGTGCCCCATCGTTGGTGTCAGTGGGGGGAGGAATAGTGCCCCATCGTTGGTGTCAGTGGGGGAGGAATAGTGCCCCATCATTGGTGTCAGTGGGGGGAATAGTGCCCCATCGTTGGTGTCAGTGGGGGGAGGAATAGTGCCCCATCGTTGGTGTCAGTGGGGGGAGGAATAGTGCCCCATCATTGGTATTGGTGTCAGTGGGAGGGTCAGGGAGGAATAGTGCCCCCCCATCGTGGGGGAGGAATAGTGTCCCATCATTGGTGTCAGTGGGAGGAATAGTGCCCCATCATTGGTGTCAGTGGGAGGAATAGTGCCCCATCATTGGTGTCAGTGGGGGAATAGTGGGTCAGTGGGAGGAATAGTGCCCCATCATTGGTGTCAGTGGGGGGAGGAATAGTGCCTATCATTGGTATCAGTGGGAGGAATAGTGCCCCATCATTGGTGTCAGTGGGAGGAATAGTGCCCCATCGTTGGTGTGTCAGGAATAGTGCCCCATCGTTGGTGTCAGTGGGGGGAGGAATAGTGCCTATCATTGGTGTCAGTGGGGGGAGGAATAGTGCCCCATCGTTGGTGTCAGTGGGGGGAGGAATAGTGCCCCATCGTTGGTGTCAGTGGGGGGAGGAATAGTGCCCCATCGTTGGTGTCAGTGGGGGGAGGAATAGTGCCCCATCGTTGGTGTCAGTGGGGGGAGGAATAGTGCCCCATCGTTGGTGTCAGTGGGGGGAGGAATAGTGCCCCATCGTTGGTGTCAGTGGGGGGAGGAATAGTGCCCCATCGTTGGTGTCAGTGGGGGGAGGAATAGTGCCCCATCGTTGGTGTCAGTTGGTGTCAGGGGAGGAATAGTGCCTATCGTTGGTGTCAGTGGGGGGAGGAATAGTGCCTATCATTGGTGTCAGTGGGGGGAGGAATAGTGCCCCATCGTTGGTGTCAGTGGGAGGAATAGTGCCCCATCGTTGGTGTCAGTGGGGGGAGGAATAGTGCCCCATCCTGGGGGGAGGAATCATTGGTGTCAGTGGGGGGAGGAATAGTGCCCCATCGTTGGTGTCAGTGGGGGGAGGAATAGTGCCCCATCGTTGGTGTCATCGTGGGGGGGAGGAATAGTGCCCCATCGTTGGTGTCAGTGGGGGGAGGAATAGTGCCCCATCGTTGGTGTCAGTGTCAGTGGGGGGAGGAATAGTGCCCCATCGTTGGTGTCAGTGGGGGGAGGAATAGTGCCCCATCGTTGGTGTCAGTGGGGGGAGGAATAGTGCCCCATCGTTGGTGTCAGTGGGGGGAGGAATAGTGCCCCATCGTTGGTGTCAGTGGGGGGAGGAATAGTGCCCCATCGTTGGTGTCAGTGGGGGGAGGAATAGTGCCCCATCGTTGGTGTCAGTGGGGGGAGAATAGTGCCCCATCGTTGGTGTCAGTGGGGGGAGGAATAGTGCCCCATCATTGGTGTCAGTGGGGGGAGGAATAGTGCCCCATCGTTGGTGTCAGTGGGGGGAGGAATAGTGCCCCATCGTTGGTGTCAGTGGGGGGAGGAATAGTGCCCCATCGTTGGTATTAGTGACACAAATGATGGGGCACTATTCCTCCCACTGACACCAATGATACTTACCTTGCTGACCCCTGCTCCAGCCTGGGCTCGCTCTCTCCCTCTCCCATCTACAGCCTGCAGAAGCAAAATTTGCACTTACCTGTCAGCTGTCTTCCTTCTCTGGCCTCTCTCCTCTTCACTCGGTCCTGCAGCTCCCTCGATCTTCTTCGATCTGCGCGCTCTGCCGCTCGGCTCCTCCTCTCCAAGCTCCACCTCCTCGCCGGTGATTGGCCGCCTGTGTGCCTCTCCTGAGCTACAGTTCCGGTGGCCAATCAGCGGCGAGGAGGCGGAGCTGTTGAGTGATCCCGGAGGTGTGGCCAGGTTACAGGGGCAGCATATCATCCCGCCCACAGATCGCGAGACAGAGCAGCGGTGTCTCGGTTCCTAAGACCATCGGAAATATGTTTTCCGATGGTCTTAGGCAACCCCTGGGAAATGGTCGTTCGACCCCCAAAGGGGTCGCGACCCCCCAAGTTGAGAACCGCTGAACTAGAACATCAAGACACAAGGGCCTACCGAAAGGATTTGAAATAGTACATGTAATACAAGTCATATATATTACACAGTGGCTATACAGAAATATACATTTGTCTGTGCAGTTGTTTTGTAACTATTCTTGAACTCCAGGCAAACATCTGATTACAACTTTGAATTTTTCTCTATGGGAACTACCCTAGGATTTATATTTCTGCCCACCCAGTCCAGAGATTTACACAGCCCTGTCAAACAACACAGACAGCCTTATGACCTGACTTTTCTCGGTTGCATTTAAGCAACTAAGCCTGGTCACCTCCCCACCCCCAGTTCATGATTGGGCAGTTAAGGATTGGAAACAGACTGATGAGGTCTTCCCTCTGTTCTCACCTCTTGTCAGCATGTTCAAGTGCATACAGGGGGATTAGAAAGAGTGTAGTTAAATTCAGGTATATTAAAAGTGGTTAAAATACTTTTTAGGTTTTAATAATAAATACATAATTACATTAATTGGTATTTTTTTTATAACAGCATGAAGTTCAGCTTCAAAGATTAGAAGAAAATAAAGTGGGTTTTCTATATGTAGCACCCTCCTAGTTAGCTAAGGGGAGCTAGTTAATTATTTTATTTTGTTAGAAGGGCTAAGTAGCAGCCTGAGGAAACAGTCAGAGGGGTCAAAATTGGGGCAGGGCTGAGAGGCTCTGTAGATCAGTTCCTTGACGCCTCCCTCTGATCTAGAGACTTGGAGAGGTCTCTAGAACCCAGTGGGTGGGGGGTGAGGAGGAGCTGCACACTTGAGGCATCCTGGCCAATCCCCAAGCAGGAGGCTTGGTATGTATGAGGTCAGGGCAGCCCTTAAAAGTGATGGAACCTGCTCAGAGGAGGAGAGTGGAAGATGTGAGAGAGGAAGAGATGCAGGAGCCTGGGAGGGGGCACAGTGGGAAGGGGCCTACCTACAGGCTGGAACCTGGACAGGAGGATCACTCAGCCTCACCAGTCCCCAGAGGGAGGACTACCTGTAAAGCCAGGAAAAGAGCTAGCCCAGAAGAAGGCATGCAGGCAGTCACAGGAATGAGACTGAGTAATCCCATTGGGCCAGCTAAGAGGAAAAGAGCACTCTGGTGGGAAACCTAAGCTCCTTACCCAGGACTGTTCATCTGCAAGTGGCAGGTACTGGATGCCCTTGCCGAGAGATTCCTCCAAACAGCTGGGTAAAGAAGAGGATTTATCTGTGGTCTGGGTTGGTACACCAGGAGAGGCTGGAGAGCGCTCCAAGAAGTTTTGCTTTGTAAAGACTTGTACATAGTTGCCAGGAAGTTGTCTTTAGTTTACTGTTTCTTGGGCATCCCATGCATCCCTTCACCCCATCCAAGTTCAATACCCCTAATAAAACTTAAAAAACAAGTTCAAGGACTGTTTACTGTCTCTGGAATGCAAGTCTGTGAAAAATAAGTGTTGCCTGGCTGTGCAGGACTATAGGGGGACCCAAATCTTCAGCAACTCCTAAGAGGGTAGTGCTACATATATTTTAATAGTGTTGGACATAGGTTACTAGATGTGATAGGTTTCAGCATTACCACCAGTAGGGCACCTGCTCTCTTGCATATATCACTGATCACTTTATTTGTTGTAAGATGTTTAAATACAAATTTGACATTAAATCATTATTACATTTTTTGTTTCTCTAGCCTACAAAGAAAAAATGAAGGAGCTGTCCATGTTGTCCTTGATCTGCTCTTGTTTCAACCCTGAGCCTCGAAACCTTAATGGATACACATATGATGGTAAGTACATTAGAGTGATGATGCAGTTATTGTTCTTTTTACTTGTAGCTAGTTAGGTTGTGTACATTTTCTGCAGATCATCAGTTGTACCTCTCGCGTGGGATAAGTACTGTACATTTTATAATAACACAGTTGCTAATTTACTTAGGACCTGAGACAGGAGATAGACATAAGACACAAAAATGCCAAGAAAGTCTGGTGTGTAAACTTGTTCTGCATTAGTGTTCCAGAAAATATTAAAGCTAAAGGACCAGATTGATAGTCAGTCATCTAGCATTTTTAGAAGATAAGGCATGCCAGCACAGGTATTTATCTCAAAACAATCTTCCATTTAAAACAATTACATTACATGTTATAAAGAAGTATTAAACCCAAAAGCAATCATTTATTATATTGCAGCTTACTAATTATTAGGTGTGATGGCTGCATTAGTTTTCTTTTTTTAGGCTTTCTTTCTTCTATTTTCATCTGGTGATCCAGCCAGCAAGTCTGTTGTTTTTCAAAAGAACAAACTCTCTTGCAGATGTATCAGTTTTCATGAGACAAACCATTTAACACTGGCAGGGGTACTCACAATGATCAGCTTTAATTATTTATGGAAAATCTTTATCCCAAAAGGAAAAAAAACTGTTTGTTGTAACTGATTATAAAGTGTTAGCTGGAGTTTGGCTTCAATTTGTTAGTGCATTTAACTCTGCTAGTACATTTAACACTACCATCCCCCTAGACTGTCAATGCTGTTGTCTACTGTGCCTGTGCTTCTTCATCCAGAGTGGGAGCACTCTAATACAGGAGGTGTGTTACTGGTTAGATCACTAGGTGACAACAAACGGAAAAAAGCCTAAAAAAAAAGAAAACAAATGCAGCCACCACATTAGATGATTGGTAAGCTGCAATATATTAAATTTTTGGTTTTGGGTTTAATATTATTATTAAGATTATGCAGGATTTATATAGTGCCAACAATTTGTGCATTGCTTTACAAATAAAGGTCACAAACAAACAAAGGATTTCCCAGCAACACTTACCAGCCAGCCTGCAAAACAAATAAATTGGCCCTGTCTAACAGTTTGCGTTAAAAACAGAGGGTTTTGTTGGCACACATTTTCAAATATATGAGTAAGCCACAGCCTTGCGTCAAGGGTCCTCTATATAATGTGGACCTACCTAAAATTTCCAAAACCTCCATAGTGGAAGCACATGTATCAATGGATAGGTTAAAGGCAGGTGTGCCTGGAGGAGCCCATCCCTCCTTAAAGGTACAGGGAGGCACAGCACGCCCAGCAGGCTTGCTGGTCTGGTAAGTGTTGCTGGGAAATCCTTTGTTTGTTTTTTAAAGGAAAAAATTTGCCATCCTGGATTTCTCCAGTGTCTTCTACTGGATAAATTCTAGTATCACATCTCTTCCAGTCAAACATAATAATCCTGCTTCACCTAGTTGCAATTCTGCTAAACAGCACTTAAGGCTTGCTAAAATGACACACAATAGTACTGCTCAGAGGCCACATTAGCACTCTTCAAAGTGGAAATTAATCATCTGGAAGAAGTAGGCTTTTGACATAATACAATTGCACTCTTCTACATTATAGCACATTTACCTAATAGTGTGCCCCCCTGCAGTGATGACAAGTCTAGCCTTGCTCTCACTGATTCTTCCCTCACTACCACCATCTACTAAACCTTCTTCTGGCACACACGTTGCATCTGTTTGGCCATTGGAAAGCCAATGATCGTTTAACTCCTGCATATGCATCACAAAATAAAATAGGAATGGAGTCTCCAATCATCATTCCAACCACATTTCATTGTTATATTGTAGATATGGAGGTGAAACAGATTAACAAGCGTACATCTGGCCAGGCATTTGAACTGATACTGAAACCCCCATCCCCTGTCTCTGAGGCTCCCCGGACTTTGGCCTCTCCAAAGAAGAAAGATGTTTCTCTAGAAGATATACAAGCAAAACTAGAAGCTGCAGAGGAAAGAAGAAAGGTAAAGAATGTCTCTTCATTAGAAAGTAATACAAACTAATTATGTCTGGGATTTTATAGTGATTCTGTCGGCTAAAAGAAAACATCAATAATTTCCAGTATAGTAGGGCTCTGTTTATATGTATAGCTAGTACACACAGTGACCTTGGCCCAAAAGAGTCCAATCCGTGGTCAAAAGGCAGGCAGAGGTCTTAGTGTAGTCAAAATCTGAGTTTGACCATCAAAAATGGAATCCAAACAAGCTGGCAGGGCATGGTTAAGATGAAGGTCAAGGCACAAGAACAAGGCAGGGAAACAGGGAGATTGAAGCACGTGTTACAAACACTATCACAAGTAAAAGACTGAGGGCTTGGCTGGCTTAAAACAGGTTTGGTCTACACCCAGAGCCTGCCTTCATCAATCACCCTGCAGGTGTACAGTCAGACAGGGAGAATGCAGCTCAGCCAAAACCAGGATGCTGAAATGAGACCCGCAGCTGTCATAGAACAGGAGGGTTACACACTCCTGACAAACACCATCTCTTGTAAAACCAAGCTGCTTGCATGTTTGATTGCCTTTTTATGTCTATGGCCACCCTAAGCCAACACTTTAATGAAGATAATGAGTCATTTTTAAGAGTCTTCCACAGGTTTCCAGCATAGCCAACTGCTAAAACATCCTAAACAGAAACACTTATAAGTCTGATTGTTCATTTTCTGTAATTAAGACACACTTTCACTTTGCCTGTTCAGGGGAAAGTGGCAGTGCCTTCTAATAGCCACTACGTTTCTGCTTCTGTGCTATTGGAGTCCACCCACTCTGGTTTTAAATGATGTTGGAGCTTACCTGGCTGGATGATGTCACTGCCTCAGTTCCACCCCACTCCCTCATCCTACGTGGGAAAGTCACATGTTCCCCTGTACCCAGAAGCCCCGCTGTGTTGTCTTTAGCCTGGAAAAGATGCTGAAAATATGCAGAAAGGAGTGTATTATATATTATTACAGCACTGGTATTGATCATGTTAATATAGTACATAGACCCTCCCCTATCACTTTCAATATGCAAACTTTTTATATAACCCATCTCAGTATCTACAACACAAAGCAAACAAGAATTTTCTTTACAGTTTTGTAAAAAAAAAAAAAAAAAAAGCATTTATACAGTATATCTCAACTGCTTGGATTTTTTCTGCACAAAACTGGTGTTTTAATTTAATACAGTGATTAATGTGATACTTCAGTACTCAAAGTTCCATTTTGTTTTGATTTAAAGTCTCAGGAAGCCCAGATCCTGAAGCAGCTGGCAGAGAAACGAGAGCATGAAAGGGAAGTTCTCCAAAAGGCTTTGGAAGAAAACAATAATTTTAGTAAAATGGCTGAGGAAAAACTGATACTGAAAATGGAACAAATTAAAGAAAACCGTGAGGCCTACCTAGCTTCCCTCTTGGAACGTCTTCAAGAAAAGGTAAAGTCAAATGTTGCCAAAATGTGTAACTACATTTTTTACCAGTTCAAGTGGTGTCAATAGCATCTTCTTGGTTCACCTTCTTTACAGAAAACTGAAGGTGGGAGAGGATACATTAAAACGATTTCCAAACCCCTTAGCTTCCCTGTTAGTTGTGGCATTTTTGTGTAACGTTTAGGATGATCACACTCCACATTATTTTTTGATTGGTTTTTAATTTTTTTGCTAGCTTGTACCTTTGAGAAAGCTCTGTTTTAATGATGCTGAAAAATTTCTTCGACCTTTTATGTGTACTTGATTTTGAGTGTAGAATGATAGGATGAGTCAGCATCTGGCTTCTTATGTCTTGAATTCTCTAAAACCTATAAGAAGCCAAGTGTTCCTGTCCATTTTAGAGTTTTTGGTGTTCCCATCCACTTTTATGTGTTCCAAAGAAAGTGGGAACTTCAAGATGGGCAAAAGGAGGTGCCAACAGTACCAAGATGTGCAGCGCACAAATGTATAAATCTATATGTATTGGATGTGATGGATCCTGTTGGACCTTTCTGACTCCACCACCCTGGACAGCCCCCTGCCTGGGAGACCTATTCCTTCATGAATGTTTGCTTTTAGATTGATCTTTCCTTTGGGTGAGCTTGATCCAATCTTTTTCATTGCCAAGGCACCAACACATAGTACACATCCAGTTAAGATTTTGTTCCTCAATAGCCAGAGGTTTAACTCAACTGTCATTTCCAATAATCAATGTTTACAAGGTCCACAAGCCATCCTTAAGGAAGCCTATGCTCATCATTCTTCTTTGGTTCCACTGGGGAGAAATCACTTTTTATCCCTGGAAATAGGTTGGCTAAGACTTCCTTATGTCCGTTTGTGAAGGCTTTCGAGTCTTATGTCCAACTTAGGATGTGGTCAAGGCAGTACATAAGTAAATCCACAATTCACTGTGTGAGTATCCGTGTATGTCACACACTCCCAGGTTTCAGCATTCCCTGGATATATGTGTTAGAGCCATGGCAACAAAGGATTGGATCAAGCTCACCCAAAGGAAAGGTCAATCTAAAAGAAAACATTCATGAAGAATAAGTTCTCCCAAGAAGTGGGCCTGTCTAGGGTGGTGGAACCAGAAAGGTCCAACAAAATGCAGCACTACCAGTACATCCATATACCTTTGTGCACTGCACATCTTGTTATTGTTGCTTTCTATCAATAAGACTCAATTGGCATTGTAATCTGCAGAAGGTTTTGATCATAACCCAGATGACAAGTATTGTCAGCACCTTGGCATACAGACTGTGCAAGAGGTGTGCTGACCCTAAAACTCAGTTATCTTACTACAGGGGTATAACTCAAGCAAGCACCAAAAGTGTATGTATCAGTTTTAGGTCAGCTGGCCTGTAAAATACATCTATTGTGAGATTATTATGTAGACTACCATTGCTGGCCCCTCAATAGTTGTCATTTACCATTATCAACATTTTGAAAATTTTAGTTCTCTGGCTATCATGAATCTTGGTTGTGTATGAATATGTTTCTGAATGTGTTATACATTTACAATAAGTCATTGCTTAGATGTGATTTACTTATCATCTAAGAAGAGGAGTTTATGTTTTTTTTAAATAATTAATCCAAAACACAGCAAAAACTCTGGAAGAATGTACTGAACTGATTGTAAGAAGAAAATACAATTCTAATTTATTTGTACCATATATGCAATATGTAATCAAACTTTTTTATTTTTTTATTTTTTAGTACTATGCTTTTATATAGACATTCTTAATATTCTTCCATTATCAAAGTGCCTGATATGAGAACTGTATTGCCTTGTGGCACCAAGTCAGGTTCTTATTGTCACGCTCCTACTGCCAAATTTCAGCACAGATTTTCTGTGAGACAGCAGTTACGGTTGCTATTTTAGGAACTTTAATGCAGTGTCCTGGAAATGTTCTTATCCTTCACCTTACCATTTATTTGTGTTATCTTTCAGGAAAGGCATGCTGAGGTGGTCCGCAGGAACAAGGAGATCCAGGAAGAACTATCTGGCTGAACACAGATGACCATTAGTCTCTTATTTGCCTATATTTACGGATCATGCGATAACGATATGGAAAATGTATGACATCACAAAAAAGAAGAAAACCAACAACAAGAACTCATTATGAACAAAAAAAACCTTCAAAAGTGTGGTCTCTTTGCAGAATGATTTGCTTCATGTTATGAAAAAAAAAAATAAAAAAAAGTGGGTCTTATTTTGTAAATACTTACATTTTTGTTAAAAAATTACAAGTATTGCATTATGCAAGTTATTTCATAATCTTACATGTCCTGTAACAGGCTTTAGGTGTTGTCTGTTTCTTCTGAATCAAGTTTGCAGAATCCTCCCAGAATGTCATGTCCAATCTGATAATCTCATTTCCTGCTGTTTTTCTTTGGAAAGTAACTTACGTATAAGTACTCATGAGGTTGGTGGTGGAAGAAAGGCCAGCTATCACTGAGCCATAGCACATATTTTGTAAGCTTTCCACTTTGTTAATTCAGTCTTTCTATCCCGAGTACAATGATGTTACAACATGTTGGTGTCCAGACAGATTATGTCAGAAAAACAATGAAAATATCTTTTCCTTGTGTGTCATGGTACAATGTTACAGTGGTTTCCAGTGTGGGCTAAACCAGCCTGTAATTCCATTCATTTATATAATTTGTAGCACCTGGACAGTAGGTGTCAAAGTCTAAATGAAGAACCTTTGTTTTTATATAATTTTTTAGTGACCACTCAGATATTCCCTTTAAAAAGTCCCCAGTGCCACAAGCGAAAACAAATAGGAAGATCCAATTGGTTCCCATGGATAGCTAGTCCCCTTCAGACACCCTGGGTTTTAAAGCCCATTAGCATTGTTATCGAGTCAAATCCAGCCAAGAGGCAAGTAGGGTTTTGTTTTTAACACAATAACTTTCACAAAAACACCAATAGAGATAGCGAATATGATGAAACAACAATGTTGCACAGGGGCCCTCTAATATGCAAAAATAGCTGCTCTTGTTCTCCTAGCAATAGCTCCCTGAAATCTGTTATAGGGAACATGTTAATGACGTCTGTTGCCATTAAAGGTTTTCTTTGTACAACATAACACATGCTCTTAACAATACCTCTATGTGAAATATGTAAGATTACTTGTTCTACCAGGAGAAATTTGCCTTTTTCTCAGCAGTATGAGGGTTACCTTTATAAGCAAAAAAAAAAATCCTGAATATGTAACCAGTAAATCTACAGGGATCATTAGACAGGGTGCACGTGCCAAGTGTGGAATTGCCTAACAGCCGCAGAGTGTCAAACATAGTTGCGATTTTGAAATTGTTCCTTACCCTATTGAAATTGCTGCCTGCATATTCTACTCTTCATTAGTGCTATTTCCTGTATGTCATTGTGAGCAAGCTGTGGTTAATAAAGAATTGGGGTTCTGAGATCTTAAACATGCCTCTTGGCTTGTTTGTTGTTTCATCGTCACTTGGTTCTTTCAGATAAAATGAACCTTACTGATTGTTATTCTGTCAGCATTTTGAAATGTCTCAACAGGCAAAAATCAAGCTCCAGTAGGTACCTGAAATCAAGCTCCAGTAGGTACCTGGTGCATGGTCACATTCCCTACAAAAAACCTATAAATCCCAAAGGGTTCTTACTATACGAATTATGAGCTTATGATGCTTTACAATGGGCCAGTGAGACTGCCTATCATAGTGGTGTGTGGAGATGTGTGAAGGCCAAAGCATTCAACTACTGGAAAGGGTCCAGATTTGCATATTTATATTCTCCAGTTTTGGCACTTCTCTCTAGCTTTTTTCAATATCTTATACTTGTCCCCCACCTTTAAACTAATAAAGAAAAATGAATCTAGTTTTTTTTATTTGTACAGCATTTAGAGCATTGTGAGTGGTGTAGGAAAACAAGGAGTTTCAACTCTCTTAAGGCATACTATCTAGCATGAAGAACATGATCCCCTGCTGAACAATACAATAGTAGGAATATTGATACCAAAGCAATACTGGACATGAAAGATCACAACTGGACAAAGGAGATAACATTGTACAAGAAGGCTTCCTACTGTAACTGGACACACAGGCAACCACAACACAATGACAAGAATAGCATTTATAAATCTGAGAAAGATGAATCACTGGTTGACAGTAAGATTGGGCATAAAATACATTATTATTCCAGAAGAAAATGATAGACAAATATACTAGATGGCATGGAGAATATACGGGAACAAAATCCAATAGACGTCAGAAAGAACATGAAAACAACAGCAATAAGGCAATAAAGGCATGACCCTAGACAATTTCAGAGAGAATATAGGTATAAAATCCCCTTGTTGCCAAGCAAAACATGGGCAAAAACACTAGATACAGGAAAGAATTTCACATGACATTATGGGAAACACCTAATCTAAGTTGTAATACCAGGATTTGCAGAACAAATGAAAATGCCAGCATGACCCTCAGTTTCAATATAGTGACATCTGTGGATATACTGGAATGCCTGTCTTCCTGCTTTTGGTGCATTTTGCTGTGGTACGTTACTGTATGTATTATTTCTAAAATTACAATTTTTTGATTTATTGTGAATTTCAAGCTGTTATTATTGGCACAACACAACTGTTTATGATGGATTGTGAATTGTAAATATAGTACTTCTTTCTGCCAAATCATGCCTGTGTACAGTTTTGATCTTTTAAAGAAATCTTACCATAAAAATATTTTCCTCATCCTGTCCCATTTTTGCAGGTGCTGTGGTTCAAGATCTACCAAGGTTGATAGTCTGAACTCCCCATTCCCAAACTGCTGTCCAACCAAGCTGCTCTGTAGGAGACAAATATCTAATTAGTATTTATTGATAGCACTTGACTCCTCACCAAGCATTTTTCACAAGAACAGCACCATCTCAGCACTTTTAGAGGAAGGGGGAGTATCAGAGCATCTGCCTGAAAACCATCCAGAGGTATGCACACACCAAAAGGGGTAGAAACAAGTGTGCTCAATAAGCGTGAACAGGGAGGGGGCATGTTAGAGCTCACCTCTGTTTTGTAATGACTTAATTTGTATACTGTATTGCAATAAAGAGCTGTACATGCTCTATATACTGACATAATCCACTGGGCAGCTTCCAGTATTGTTATACTCATGATTATAAATGAAAACTGCACCCAACAGGCCACTCATTGAACAAGGGGACAATAGCAACTGAGCTCAGCAACAGTTACACCCACAAATCGGGTTTGTGACAGGGGAGTTTCTGTCATGCGCCAATGGAAGAAGTAAAGAAAGGATTTTTTACAGAGTCATTCAAAGTTTCTTTGAAAAGCAGCAAAGAGAAATATTTCTACATTATATGGCCTATAGACTAGCATGTCATTTTGCAATGTCCTTGAGACTACACCTGTGCTTTAAATGCATAAAAGAACATTAGCACATTGTTCTCATTTATATGATGCATCACATTTTAGCCATTTTGATATATTTGTTGGTGTTTTTGCATTAATTGCACTCACCTTATTTAAGGGAAAATTCTTTTAATAGCTACATTCTTTTCTGTGTACATGCACAACTCAAATAAAATACTTTTTAAGCTGTGCAAACCTATAAAATGACAGGACTATAATGTTAAAGGGGAAGAAGGCTATGGCAGGCAGTAATAAGGGGTGGAAGACTTTAATGGGCAGAGGCTATGGGTCTCATGATTGACATATGCAGCCAGGAGGGAGAATTCCAATTAGATTCTCAGAGCAAAGCATTTTTTCTGATTCAGATCTGAGCAGTAATGAATTGCTTAAGAGAAATTACATTAGAGTTAGTTTAATGTGAAACGTAATTAGCCAAATGATCAGACAGGGAGTAACTGTATCTTGCAGTTTACTAAATAAGCAAGCAATAATGCAAAACAGGGTCAGGATGACAAAAATCATGCATAAACTGCAAAGTCAGATTTTGAAGGCTGCATAATATAGCATAGTCTCTATTAGCCTCTTTAACAACAGAAAGTCAAGTAGAGATAAAAACAGTTCAGAACAGTGCTACCTATGATTACCCTCATAAACAGTTCCCTTACAGTGATGTCCAGGGCGACTTTGGTAACACAGGTGAACAGCTAGAGGGATCCAAGGCCCAAGGACAAAGGACCACCCTACTGTACCTGGAGTATCATGGTAGCAATGGGAGAGGGACTTCTAATGGTAGCTGGGTCTTTCAGAGAAGGGTCATACCCTGCTGCCTACACACTAGTTATGACACTTGCCCAGTTACCTCCACATCTTCAGGTATGGATTCCCTATTTTTGAGGGAGGGAAGCTGAGGAATTGAGCCATTCCAGGGACCTGGGAAGCTGTGGGAAATTGAGCTAAAGATGCTTGCAACTAGTATATATAAGCATGGTGAGTATATGGGCACTCTGCTACACTGGATATTCAATTTAGATGCAAATAGTGCATAGAGGGATTCCCTTATATAAATTATGCTTTATAAGGGTATTTTCACCATTTTGGAGTTAACTATAGTATTAAAAGGTGCAAGAGTCATATAAGTTCTTTAGAAATGAGGAAGCTACATGAATGAGCAGTGAAACCTCTTCAGCATTTCAGAAAGAGACTAATTGCTACTAGTCATACCATAAACTGAATAAAAGAGAATCTCCAAGGACAGAATGCAACTTTATACTGATTATGTGAAAAGCAGTTATGATCTAATTCCTTTAGAAAGCAATAAATGTGCTTATAGCTTTTATACATAAGGCCTTGTGTAATAGATGACAAGGTTATGGCACACATTCAGGCTGAGAATAGACATTACGTTAATATTAAGGGACATGTGACTTCCAGGATATTTCCACTGGCCTGGAAAATTTCAATAACATTCGGTCACAGACACAAGCAAGCGGTATATGGCCAAGCAAATTTAATTGAATTTTTGAAATAATTAAAGGAGAGACCAAGCCTTCATTCATATTTGATCAGCACCACTATTCCAAAAAGTTGAGCTGCCAAGTAAGTGACTGCA